GCCTTTGGCTCAGGTCATGATCCCAGGGTCCTGGGATCGAGCCCCGCATCGGGCTCCCTGCTCCGCGGGAAGCCTGCTTCTCCGTCTCCCACTCCTCCTGCTTGTGTTTCCTCTCTCACTGTGTCTCTGTCAAATAAATAAAATCTTTAAAAAAAAGCAAAAAAAAAAAGCTTCTACTTGGCTGTCTCATGTGCTCATTCTGGGGAAGGACTACCCCCATGCTGTGAGAATGTTTAAGCAGCCTGTGGAGAAGCCCACATGGAAGGAATTGAGGCCTCCTGTCAACAACCAGAGCCTCTGGGTTAAGTCATCTTCGAAGTGGTTCCTCCCACCTCAGCCAGATCTTCCAATGACTGCAGGCTCATGAGAGACTCCTGGCCAAAAGCACTCAGCCACATACAAGGCTGCTAAATTTGACCCATAGAAACTGTGAGAGAGTAAAAATGTAGTGTTTTAATACACTAAGTTTTGGGGTTAATTTATTATGCAGCAAGATAAATAACAAGAACTTTGCTTTCTTTTCATTGACTGGGGGCAAACATATTAACAAATAAATTTATTAACAAGTAACAAAATTTCATCTTATATTAAAAAAAATAACACAATGTTCTTATTCATAGCTCTAGAATATGCTTTTGGACTTCATTTTATTTTATTTATTTTTTAAGATTTTATTTATTTATTTGACAGAGACAGCACAAGCAGGCAGAACAGCAGGCAGAGGGAGAGGGAGAAGTAGACAGAAATAGACTCTCCGATGAGCAGGGAGCCCGATGCGGGACTTGATCCCAGGACCCTGAGACCATGACCTGAGCCAAAAGCAGTCGCTTACCTGACTGATCCACCCAGGCGCCCTTGGACTTCATTTTAGACATGGAACTATGAAATAAGGCTTTTTATGAGGGATTCTTTATGTAAATCATCACGTATTGCTGGCAGATTACCACAAACTGTATTTTTTTTAGGAGGTAATGGGACTATAAAACTGACAGACTATATCATGCTTTTCGGTTATGCAAAACAACACTTACAGGAGAAACTTACCCTGGATCAGTACGAAGTTTGGCTTATAGAGAGACTTTTATGAACAAGTATTAAATGAGTAGGCAATTAAAGCCCTTTTTTGTGGTTTTCAGAGATCAAATTTTAATTATTCAAATGTCATTCCAAATGTCAAAGATTTTAAAATCATTACGTATGAAAATGTGTCATTAAATAAGTATTAAAAAATCCATTCCCTAATTGAGGGGAAAATGCTGCTTCAACAGGTACGTATTTCCAAAGCTAAACTATACTGAACAAAACATGGATATATTGATTATTTTTCATGATTTTATGTAGTCCACTTTTACAATAAAAGGTCATTTAAGTGTTTTTACACTTTTATATACTAAGGATTACGGATTCTTTAAAAATTCCCTTGAATGCATTTTTACAAATAAAATAAATAGCTACTTAAAAAAAGTTCACGGCCCAAATTCATAGTGTGTTCTAGAAAACCTCAAGCAGAGAATTTAAAGTGGTTTCAAGCTGGTAGGGCCAGGTGGTTACAAAAACAAAAAGATATCTTCTCTAAACATGTTACTATTTGAATCTTTAAAACCCAAACCTTCATTGCCTCTAATTCCCAAAGAGTTACTGCTCCATTTATTTGACCCTGTGTAATGAAGTACTAGATTTGTTTCTACTTGATCTTGCCATTTCCTCTCCTAGTCTGTTTTAAACCCATTCAAATCCACTCCAAATTTTTGCCCCATCACTATAAATGGCAATTTTATCTCCCCTCCTTGCTCAAGCCAGAAATCTTGGGATCATCTTTGACTCCTCTTTCTTCATACCCCATATCTTATCCTTCAGAAAAACCCGTTAGCTTACTTCCAGATCATAATCCAGAATCTGTCCATTCCTCACTCTTTCCATTGCTACCACCCTGGGCTGAGCCACTAGCACCTTGCTAGCCTAGTTTACAAGAATAGCTTCCTCACTCACTGGTCTTCCAGCTTCCACTACAAAGTATCTCCACTGATTCTTTTGAAATGTAAATAACCCTATTACTCTTCTGCTCAAAATGACTCCCCATGTCAGACAGTAAAAGTCCTTATAATGAGCAATCGGGCTTTACCTCATCTAACTCCCCTCGTCCCATTCCCTACATCTTACCCTCTTAACTCACTTGGCTCCAGCCACCCTGGCCAACTTGCATAGCATTAGTCTCTATGTCCGGATCTCACCACCCTCCCCCTCATCCCACCCCAAGTCTCAGCTCTTAGCGTAGTGTTCGGCACCTAGTTATTTCATTTTTCTAAAGGAATGAATCATCTGACGATTTTTATTTTCTGCGTAAAATACATATCCCAAATGGGGGATAACTTTCAAGGCCACCGGCTGGCAACGCTCGGACAGTTACCGCTCATGAACTATTTGCTGAACGAACAAAAGCACTCGGGCATACGTTCGTTCATTTCGGCGCTTATTTTAGTTAAAACTCTTAGCGTGGCTTCGGCTTAATGCCCCAATGACCCCACCTCCCGGCAATTTTCTCCCCTTCTCTGCGCTCGGTAAGCTGCGTGGGAGAAGGGTGGAATGTCTGGATTGAGGCAAAGGTGCTTGCCAGGTACTCCAGGTCTAGACTTCCCTGAGGGGAATGAAGCCGGTAAGCTTGCACGCGGCTGGATTCACCCCTGCGCTGTAAGCTGAGCACCCTACACACTTTAAAGTCTACCCAAATCCACTCGCTAACACCCGCTCCCGGTGACATCACCACCGCTCCGAACTCCTTATTGGAAGAGCTCAGTCGCTCAATTCTCGCGATGACTCCAGTTCCAGGTCCCCTTGCTTCCCTCCCACCGCCCCGAACCGGTAGTCAACAGACCACGTTGCGAGCCTCGGAGACATCGTAGAACTAGACCAGCTCCGGTACTCGTCTAGACGGCTGAGACTCTTCTTAGACGCTCACGGGCACGAGGTTTGGCTCCCAGGTTTCCTGTCTGCCAGACCCGCGCTAACGCGCGACTCTTCACTGTTCGGCTCCGCCACTTTGCTAGGGCAGCTGGGCGATTCGCACCAATTCTCGTCCTTTGCTATCGCGAGAATTTGGCGGTTGTGCTACAGATTTCCGGTCGTTTAGGTCTCCACGGAGACAGCGCTATCGCCACTTTTTCCGGTCACCTGTGGCTCTCCGGACTCCACGTGGTTCGGAAATTACCCAGAGAATGTTTGTGGGAGTCAGCCAGAAAGGTGTAGGTGGGAGTGAAGCAGCGGTCAAAAGGGAAACAGCCAGTGGGATTTAGGAGTACAACTTGCTGAGCATCTTCTGGCCACTTCTGGAGAGTTGTTGTAGGGTGGGCACGGGATATTCCCCTATTGGGGAGGCCCAGTTCATTAAGACAAATGTTTAGGCATCCGTTGAGCACGCTTAAGCACCGAACCAATTTTTGTGTAGTCTTGAGGGTTCCACGATCAAATCCTGCTGTAAACTTACTCACCATTCACCAGAGAATAGTCTCCCTAGTTATCCGTCTCTATCCCTTACTAAGTTTGTGTATTGGTCACTCTCCTAGGAAGTGATCCCCAATTATTACCCTAGATCTAAGCATGTCACTTTTCAAATTCTTCCCTTTTCTTGCCATTATAGCTGTGTCCATTTTTATTACCATTTTCTGTTAAGTGGTTTTTCACATTCCATCGCTGTATCGATTTCTTACTTTGCAGCTAGGCCATAGGTTCTTAGTGTCAGGACCAGCTTGTCACTTAGATATGGAATATACATACCAGGTAGTGCACTTTTCTGTTGTTAAAGGCATACATTTCTGACAGTGTTTGTTAATTTATTCATTTGTTTATTCATCAAATATTTATTAAGCCCCGAATATATGCCAGGTACTGTTTTTGGAATTGAGAATTAAAACAGTGGATAAAACAGATTAAAGTTGCTGCTTTCGTGGAGTTTATTACTAGGGGAGACAGACAATATACAAATAAAGAAGTTACTGCAATTTTAGGTAGTAGTAGTACTATGAAGAAAATAAAGTAATGGAAATGATCTGTGAGTGGGAATGGTGGCATTTTAGATAGAGTGGTCATGGAAGGCTTCTCATAGGAGGTGCTATTTGAGAAGAGACCTGAAAGATGGGGAAAGATCTTGCAAAGATCTGGTGGAACAAGCATTAATAGGCAAATGTATGAGGAAGGGCAAAGTGCCTTAGATGGTGACTAGAAGATTGATTTGAGATGAAATGCAGTGGAAGGCAGGACCAGATTACTTGGGCCTTGAGGGCCGATGTCTCAAGTTGGATTTTATTTTAAGTGTAACTGGAAGCCCTTGGAAAGTTTTAAGCAAGAGAGTAATTAGATTTGATTAGAGTTTTAAAAAGATTGCTCTGATGATGATGAAAAGAGCGGACTCCTCAGAAACCAGGGAGAAGAGGGGAGACCAGTTGTGAGGCTGTTGAAGGAGTCCAGATGCAAAGGGTTCATTCCGTTTCTGCTGGGATATTTCCAGGGTTGGGAAATTCTCCGTTTACAAGACAGTCCATCCCATAGTTAGACAAGAGAATTCTTCCTTTGCATTGAGCTGGGATCTGCCTCCCTGAAACTTGCACGGACTTTTCCTAATTCTGTAGCAAGACAGAACACATCTCTTTTTCTGACAGTCCTCCAACAACAGCAGCTGCTCTGTAGCACTTGTCCTGTCCTCTTTTCTCCACACCTTTGGCTAACCGGGAAGGCACTGAGGTTAGTTGGGCCTAGTTTACTTTTGGAAAAATCATGCTGGTTTTTTATGGTTATTGTTATTACTAAAATGAAGGTTGGCTGTATTTTAAAATACAAAGACTGGACCATAATAGGCAAGAATAACTTTAGACAATAATAAACTCTTGTTGAGCTTAAAAGATGTTTTTCTTTTTTGAAGCAGAAATTCTTAGATCAGTGGTTCTCAACCTGGGGCCACTTTGCTCTCCAGGAGACATTTGGCACTGTCTGCAGGTATTTTTTGGTTGTCATAACTTGCGGGGGAGGGGATGCTATTGGCATCTAATGGGCAGATGCCAGGAACGTGTTAAACATCCTACAATGCATAGAATGACACCGCATAGCAAAAAATTATCTGGTCCCAAATGCCAGGAGTGCTGAGGTTCAGAAATCCTGAATTAGACAATGCTTTAAACTCTCCTTTTTTGCAGTGACTGCTATTAATTCTATTTAAAATGGGTGTAAAGAAGAAGAAAGAAATGCAAGTAACTGCAATGACCATTTGCCATCAAGACCTTGAAACTTTGAGATGTAAGTGATTTCTGACTTAATTTGTTTGCTTCTTTTCTGGGTTGCAGAGTATTTGTATCTCTGAGACTCACTATCACATGATGTTCAAACTCTTATTATTTAATTTTTCCATGTTCTTTACATTCAGTTTTGCATGTAAAATGGTTTCCTAAAAATTCTGTCTTCAAACCAAGTTCTGCCTGCTTTTTTTTTTTTTTTTGGTTTATAAATACTTAGATTTTTCATAATGCATAACAGAGGCAAAGGCAAACTCATATCCATACATTGTTATATCCTTAAAGAAATTTGTGTGTGTGTGTTCTCTAGCTTTGGCTGATGTGGAAGGAAAGAATCTGGCTTCTTTGCTGTTACATTGTGTACAGCTCACGGATGGAGTGTCACAAATCCATTATGTTAAACAGGTAAGACTACATTGATATTCATGGATACATCTTGAAGATTATCATGCTATTATGGACATTTAAAATTAACTGACAGTTTTTGGCTCCCAATTATTTAATATCAATGTATCATTAAAGAATAGGGTTTTTTTTTTTCCTTTTCTGTTCGTTGTCTAATCTCATTTTATTCAGAGTATTGGTAGAAGCCATATGCAGGCCTCCGCCACCATTGGGGCTGTAAAGAGATAGGACAATGAGCCAGCTGTGCATACCTTTTTTGTGGACATAAATTTTAAAAAATTATTTATTTTTTTTTTTAAAGATTTTATTTATTTATTTATTAGAGAGCGAGAGAGAAACAGCATGAGAGAGGAGAGGGTCAAAGGGAGAAGCAGGCTCCCCGCTGAGCCAGGAGCCCGATGTGGGACTCGATCCCAGGACTCTGGGATCATGACCCGAGCCGAAGGCAGTCGCTTAACCAACTGAGCCACCCAGGCACCCAAAAAATTATTTCTATTAATTTGAATCCTTACAACTTTTTAGCAGATACATTTAAAAGTTAATTTAAAATGTAAAGATTGTCCTTACCAGTATTTCAGTATTAGGATTTACCATTTGAACTTGCATAATTTTTTTAGAAAGCAATTAAATGTATTATTGGTTTTTCAGTAGTGCTACAGAATTCCTATACCTTAAGCCATTAACAAGTCTAATTCTTAGTAGAGGTGGGTCTGGAGGGTAAACTGAGAATTGGGGATATGGGTTAAAAAGATTAAAAAATACTAAAATAGGTGTTTAAATTGGTATTCATAACAATGCAGTGTAGAAAATATTACACGTTATAATTGAGACTTTAAAGAGTATTTGAAACTATGTTACTTTGCTGTATATACTTGATATTAGAAAAAATTACGATGACTTTGAATTTTTTGGATTGTAGATTGTGCCTTTACTGGAGAAGGCAGATAAAAATGGCGCATGTGATCCCACTATTCGAAGTTGTTTGGATATTTTAGCAGGCATTTATCTTTCTTTGACTGTAAAGAATCCCTTGAAGAAGGTCTTGGCAAGGTAAGGGAAAAAAGGAAAGGAAGTTAAGTATTATAAATGTTCAATTTGACCAAAAGTAACCAGTATTTAAAGTTCTCCTGGTTTAGTAAAACTGAACTGAAATACGTCACTAACAATTTCATTTATATGGTCTCTGCTTTGTTTACTTATGACAACTTTTTAAAAATGTTGAGGGCTTTTTAGGTCAGAGGCCTTAATAAAACCGGCTATAGGTTGTAGTTTGCTGACTCCTGGTTTAGTCCATTTATATTAATGCAGTTATTGGTTAAGTTTAATCTGTCATCTTGCTATTTCTTTTTCTTCTGTTTTCCCCATTTGTTCTTAGTTTAAACCTATTTTTAATTACACAGGTAATACCGGAATAAATGCTTGATGTAAAGACTTCAAGCAATACAGAAGTGAGCAAAATAAGAAGTGAGCCTTCTGTTTCACTCTTTCTGGCTTATCTTACTTTTTTTAGTAAAGGTCATCACTTAACATTTTTGTATCTATCTTTTTAGACCTTTTCTTTGGGTTTAGTGTGTGTATCATTATATTTTAGTTTTGATTTTTTTACATAAATGGGACTATACTTATTTATTTTTTTTTTTTAAGATTTTATTTATTTATTTGACAGAGAGAGACACAGCCAGAGAGGGAACACAAGCAGGGGGAGTAGGAGAGGGAGAAGCAGGCTTCCCGCGGAGCAGGGAGCCCAATGTGGGACTCGATCCCAGGACCCTGGGATCATGACCTGAGCTGAAGGCAGATGCTTAACAACTGAGCCACCCAGGCGCCCTGGGACTATACTTATTGCTCTGTAGCTTGTTTTTTCACTGAAGAATGTCTTAGAGATACTTTCATGTCAGCATAGTCCTTATTCTTTTTTTTTTTATTTGTGTGAAAAAACATACAACATAAAATTCGCCATCTTAACCATTTTTGAGTGTTAAGTATATTTACATTGTTGTGCAGTGGATCTCCAGAGTTTCTTCATTTTGTAAAACTGAAACTCTGTAAATATTAAGCAGTAAATCCCCATTTCCTCCTCTCCCTAGCCCCTGGCTACCACAGTTCTACTTTCTGTTTCTATGAATTTGATTACTTTAGTTACCTCATATAAGTGGAATATTTGTATTTATTTTTTTTTGATTGGCTTATTTTACTTAGCATAATATTCTCAAGGTTCATCCATGTGGTAGCATGTGGCAGGATTTTTGTCCTTTTTAAGGCTGAATTACATTCCATTGTCCATATGTACCACATTGTATTCATTCATTCATCTGTTGATAGACATCTGGGTTGCTTCCTCTTCTTGGTATTGTGAACAGTGCTGCTATGAACATGGGTCTGTAAATATCTCTTTGAGATCCTGCTTTCAGTTCTTTTGGATATATACCCAGAAATGTGATTACTGGATCATATGGTAATTCTATTTTTAATTCCCTGAGGAACCTCCATATTGTTTTTCATAGCGTCTGCACTATTTTATGTTCCCACCAGAAGTTCTTATATTTTCCTACAGTTATAAATATTCCCATAATATGGATATACCAAAATTTTTATGGACTGCATTACATATTACTTAATCACTTTTCCATTGATATTTAGTTTGTTTTGTTTTCATTATTCCAACAATGATGCAGTGATATTCTTAAATACGTATATGATTGTTATGTGTATTTCCCTGAGATAAATTCCTATAAGTGAAATTTCTTTTTTTTTTTTTTTAAAAGATTTTATTTATTTATTCATGAGAGACAGAGAGAGAGAGAGAGAGGCAGAGGGAGAAGCAGGCTCCCAAGGAGCAGGGAGCCCGATGCGGGACTCGATCCCAGGACGCTGGGATCTTGACCTGAGCCGAAGGCAGACGCTTAACCATCTGAGCCACCCAAGCGCCCTATAAGTGAAATTTCTTGACCAAAGCCATTGCTAAACTGTACTCCCCCAAAGCTATTCCAGTTGATACTCCTACTAACAATGAATGAGAGTGCCAGTGTCTTCATATCTTTCAAACACTGGATAATCTTTAAACCATTTCTAATGGGTAAAAAAATAATACTAGGTTTTACTTTTCATTTCCTAGATTACTAGTGAGATTGAACATTTTTTAATATGTGGAATTTTACTATTTGTGATTATATATCTTTTGTATGTTTCCTTGTTAGAGTGTCCTTTCTTTTTCTTATTTAAGTAAATTTATTTATGTGTCAAAAAGCAAGTGATCAGATACTGGCCAGTTCTAGGATTTGGGGAAGTAGTCAACAATGTCATCAAAGATCTTGATGTTTTCCATTTTTCTCCCATGTGTTGGCCGTATCTTCTTTCAGAATTACAAGGGGGCTGTAGCAGTTACAGCCACCTTATACAGACATGATAGCATCCAAAAAAAAAAGAAAAGGAAATTTCCTCTTTTCCATCTCTTTTTATTGGAGAGAAAAAACATTTTGCAGAAGGTCCCAGGAAACTTCCTATCACTTTTTGTTGTCAAGATTGGGTCATATACCCTCCTTCTGGTTGTAAGAATAGCTGGGAAGCAATACTCTCACACCTTTAGCCTCTCTTATACCCATGCCAATAAAGAAGGGCATGGGTATAAGAGCTCTATATAGATTATGTGCCAAATATTCCTTTGTTTTATTACTTGTCTTTAAACTTTCTTTGTGGTGTGTTTGCTTTATAAAAATTACAAAATTTTTCTTGGTAATCAAACCCACTAGTATTTTTCTTTATATAGATTTCTGAGTTTCATGCTTTCCTTATGGATGCTTTCTCTACTATAAAAGCATATAAAATTACTTCCTTGTCTTTTCTTAAAATACTTCATCTGGAACTAAGCTTTGAGTGGAGTGTAAGTTAGAGATCCAATTTAGTTTTCTTTTCCATATTGGGGAACCACCTATCCCCAAACTTTTGAATAGTCCATCTTTCCTATATATGTGGAATGCCATTTTATTATGTTCTGTGTTCCTGTATAAACATAGATTTGGTTTTAGACTTAGGTCTGTTTGTTTACTCACCAACATCACACTTTTATTTACTATAGTTTGATAATGTAGTTTAATTATATGCTGGAGTAAGTCACCCCTCTGGTGACTTTTCTTTTTCAGACTATTCCTATTTCTAAATTCTTTTTCTTCCAGAAGAGTGTTAGAACTGTTCAAATTTTTTTAAAAACGCTTACTGGTTTTCATTTAGATTAATTGAAGTAAAATTGACACTAATTGAATTTATCTATTAAGTAAATTTTTATTGACCATCTAACTATATGTCAAGTAAGTGTTCTAGGCATTGAGGATACAGTGAATAAAACAGTTTAGAATGGAGGTTACATTCTTTTTTTTTTTTTTAAGATTTATTTATTTGAGAGAGAGAGTGAGAGCGCGGGGTGGGGGGAGGAGGGGCAGAGGGAGAGGGAGAGAGAATCTCAAGCAGAGGGGCGCCTGGGTGGCTCAGTCGTTAAGCGTCTGCCTTCGGCTCAGGTCATGATCCCAGGATCCTGGCATCAAGCCCCGCATCAGGCTCCCTGCTCTGCGGGAAGCCTGCTTCTCCCTTTCCCACTCCCCCTGCTTGTGTTCCTTCTCTCACTGTGTCTCTCTCTATCAAATAAATAAATAAAATCTTCACTTGATCTTAGCCAAAAGGCCGAGAAGCGATTAAATAAATAAAATCTTAAAAAAAAAAAGAATCTCAAGCAGACTCCCCACGAGGAGCCTGGTGCGGGACTTCACCCCATGACCCTGAGATCATGACCTGAGCCAAAATGAAGAGTCGGACGCTTGACCAATTGAGCCACCCGGGCACCCCTGGAAGTTACGTTCTAAGACCAAGATTGAAAATAGTCAAAATAAATTAGGATATATAATATCCTAATATATAGTAAATTAGGATTAGATGAAATAAATGCTATGGAGAAAAATAAGACAGTGAGTGGGGGATGGGAGCACCAAGGACGAGGTGACGGTTACAGTTTATGGAGGTCACTTCAGATGTCTTTGCTCAAATGTCATTGATAAGGTGATATTTGAGATTGACCTGAAAGGGATGAGGGAATGGTTATTGGGTCTATTTGAGGGAAGCATGTCAGGTGGAGTAAATGGCAAGAGCAAAGGCTTTGGTATATCATCGCAACAAGGGAGGCCATGTAGTTAGAGCTAAGTGAACACGGATTAAGATGAGGCTGGAGAGATAATGGTGGCGTTAGAGTGTGTAGAGTCTTGTAAGTCATTGTCAGCACTATGGCATCTAATTTGAGAGGGACATTGTTGGACGATTTTAGGCAAAAGACTAACATGGTGTTTTTATAATATCACTCTGGCTACTCTATTGAGGCGGAGAGCAAGATGGAGGCAAGGAGTTCCAATGACTGTGGCATGAAGTTAAAATTTTCTGGCTGTATTTTGAAGGCATAGTTCAGTATTCCTTCATTTGTATGATTCTCTCCCCACTTCATATATCCACTTACTACATGGTTGTCAGATATTTAATACTTGGTTTTTTTTCCAGCTCACTAAATGGCCTACCTGAATTTTTTCTAACTGAGGCTATACAAAGTTTTACTTCTCGTCTTCAGGAACAATTGAATACTACTGACCTATATTCTTATAGGAAAGTAACTGACAATATATCTTCCTGTATGGAAAACTTTGACTTGGGTAAGCCAGCTCTTGTGTAGTACTTTTTCTATCATTACATCATTGTTTTTAAATGATGTTAATTTTGGTCCTGGGGCTCCTTACCAGTGTTAATTTTTTTATCCCCACAGGTAGAGCAGGAGTTAATAATCTTCTTAAAAATGGTAAGTCCTGTTATTTTATTTTATTCTGAGGGGGTAACTGCTTGTATGAGTCATTTTAGAACTGGTTCTTTTTCACTTTCTTGGCAATGGGTAGAGTCTTGCAGATTACTAAGGTACATCATGCCCCTTCCTTTTAAATTCCTACTTCTGTACCGTGATACCATTATAGGTAGCACTAACTTAAAGTATTTTCCTATACTGACATTAAAGTTTACAGTTTTAGGTTCTGCTTTGTCATTATGTGTTCTTTGGTTTCAGTGCTTCATTTTCTGCAGAAGAGTTTAATTGAAATCTCAGAAGAAAATAGGCAAGTATTACGTGTTTGGATGCTTGTGGGGATGTGCCTGTACGCCTGAGGTTGTGTGTTGTCTTTGTACAAAGGAAGTTTAAGAAAAAGTTTCCAGAACTTGCTTCATTCCATCCCTCTCTGTTAATATTAGACCTGATTATTGAAATTTATTCTTTAGAGGTTTGATATTTAATTGAAAAAACCAAATAAATTCTTAGGAGAATGTGAGAATGAGCTCCTTTCTCCCTGAGTGTTCCTTACTTATAGCATCCTGTTCTTATTTTATGAATGAAATATGAAATATCTTGTTATCTTTCTGAGGCTATCAGTGTAGCATTTTGTTTTGTTTTTTTTAAATAGTTTCTTATCTTTACATAGTCCTATTTCTTCTAAGTTGCTTTTTTTCTGTTTGATGCTTTCAGTCACTATATTCGTTGCTAGAAGCTTTTGTCAGAAGTCTGGTGATTTTTGGCCAAGCGCTCATATTTAAGGATGGGGCACTGAGAGTTGATTTGAATCTGTGTGTATGGGTGGGGTTGATTGCAGGTTTTATTGTAGGCTAGTTTAGCTAGGCTATTTCTTTGGAAAACCTTTGATATCAATATCATCAGGTCTTTTTGCATGGGTAACAGATTCACCATGCAATCAAACCATTGGCTTAATATTCTGGTTGCTGAGGGAGTGAAGAAAGCTGAGGTTGTGGCATTTGACATTCATTGTTCATATATTTACCTGATTCTTTTGGTTGCACTATGGTGTTCCTGCCTTATCTGTGCATGTTGTTTTACCTTCTCTAGAGGTAAGCCAGTTATTTGCTGGTTTTTACTCTTCAACAGACTTGTAGCCAGTCTTCCTATTTTCTGCTGTGTTGAGAATAGACTGAGGGGGGCGGGGCAAGGATAGAAGCTGGGAGACCAGTTAGGAGGCCATTGCAGTAATCCAAGGGAGAGATGAGAGTGACTTAAGCCAGGAGTAGCAGTGGAGGTGGTCTGATTCTGGATATATTTTGAAAGTAGGGCCAACAGGATTTTCTTACAGATAGAGTAGGGAAGAGGGAGGTCAAGGGTGATGACAAAGTTTTTGTAGGTTAGAGATCCCAACAGGTGGAGCAGGTTTGGAGTTGAAGATGAGTTCATGTGGTTGGAGTTGTCTGTTAGACATCCAGGTGAAGGTATTGAGTAGGAAGTTGCATATACAAGTCTGGGATTAGCAGGAGATGTTCAGGCTGGAGATACAAATTTGGGAATTATCAGCATATATAGATTATAATTTAAAGTTTATGAGCTAGATGAGATCAGCATCAAGGGACCAAAGTAGGTGGACCAAAGAGGGAGAGTAAAGACTGAGTTGTGGAGAGCTGTAACATAAAGAGGTTGGGGAGAAAAGGATGAATTAGCCAAGGTGTCTAGGAAGGAGTGATGGTGAAGTAGGAGAAAATGGAGGAGAGCCTGGTGTCTTGGAAGCCAAGTGAAGAAAGCATATCAAGGTTGAGAGAGTGTTCAAGTTTAGAAATTGTGGCATTCTTGGGACACCTGGGTGGCTCAGTCGGTTAAGCATCTGCCTTTGGCTCAGGTCATGATCCCAGGGTCCTGGGATTGAGTCCTGCATCAGGCTCCCTGCTCAGCGGGAGCCTGCTTCTCCCTCTGTTGCATCCCTTGCTTGTGTGCTCTCTCTCTCTCTGACAAATAGATAAAATCTTAAAAAAAAAAGAAAGAAAGAAATTGTGGCATTCTTTCTTGATCTTTTATTTTTACTCTTAAAAAAAGTGAAGTGTGAGGTTAGTCATTAGCTGAGAAGGAGGAAAATGTTGAGGTCAGAGTGTTGAAAGGTTGCAGTAAATGTCCCCATAATTGGAATGTTTATGGGAATGGAAGAGAGAGGCATAAATGTCTAGTATAATCTAAAATGAATTTTGGCCCTTTGAGGAATGTTTCTTTTGCAGAGAGATAGAAATGGGGACATTTTTATGTGACTTTTCTTTTATAATAACGTCTTTTCTTCATTATAGAAAATTTGCTGGAAATCATATAGTTCAAACGCAGTTGATGAATGACTTGTTGGTAGGCACTAGAGTTTCAGTGATGTTAGTGCAGAAAATACAAGACTTTCAGAGAATTCATTTGAAGACTTCCGGTTCTCCCACATGGCAAAGTATGTGTGGATTGCTGAGTATTTTCACCAAGTTTTTAAGCGATGGTAAGTGTAAAACCATAAAAATGATGATTATAATTGAGTGTCATTCAGCTTTTGCTAATAATGGTATGAAATGTTTGATACGTAGCTGAGATGTAGAACTTCTTCTCCCCCAGCCCCTTAAAATGGGGAAAGGCCCTGGATTATGAGGTTTTAATGCTTTTTCTTTCAAATGTGCCAATTCTGCAAGGGCTAATGTTGAAGAACTTTTCTAAATGTGGATGTGTGTATTGTAAAGAAGAAAACCTAACAGTCTTAGTGTTGAAAAGCTGCAGACTTTAAGTGGCAAAAGAAAATTCTTGGTAAGAGATTTCCAAATTTGAATGGAAGATCTGGAAAGGTGAATGTAACCCATACATTTCTCCTTAGCAGCAGGCATTATCTTCAAGTAACGACAGTAGTCCTTGTGGAGGGTAGTCATTGTCCCCCTATATCTCTCATATGTTGCTTCTATCCAAATGAACTGTGTTACTGGGAAGCCAAATAGTTAATGAGAGGAAGTCTCTCTTCATAAAAGCCTTCTGGGCTGGGTGCCTGAGTTCGATTTCTCACCTTGGATGCTGGGTACAAGGGTGTTCATCTTCAAATAATTCATTAAGCTGTACACTTGTTTTGGGTGTTTTCTATATCATTGTGTGATATTACAGTAAGATTAACCAAAAAATGATACTTAACACATAAGTATTTATAAAAAGTTAATTACCTTTTTACAAAGACCTTTACTTCATGTTCTGTATGGTCATGCATGCATGAGTATTATTAACTTATTAAAAAATTATTGGGATCAGTTTAGAGTTTTTGTTTGTAAAGAGCAGTAACTGACTCCAGTTTTGCTAGGCTAATGGGAAAAAAATAGTACCTCATTGTTTATATGTCTTGAATCCTGGTAACTAGTGAAAGTGCTAGCTATCTTGTCCGGGTAGTTTTATTTATTTATTTATTTATTTATTTATTTATTTATTTAGGCTAGGATCTAGGTAGTTATTAAAAGGAAAGGAAAGTTAGTTTGAGACACAATTTACAGACATCTTTTCAGAGAATACTTGCTTTTTAAAAGAGACTTCGTTATTTAAAAAAAAAAAAGACTGGTGAAATGTAGGGAAGACCTGATTTTAATACAAGCAGCCTCTTTTTTGAGCAGTTGATTGGGGTCTATCCAGTGCTGTTCTTCCCCAGGGTTTTAAAGCTTCCCGTATCAGTCAAGTGTTTGGCTACAGGTAACAGAAAACTAAATTTCAGGGACTTCAGTAAATGTGCCTCCCTGTGCCCCCACAGAACGTGAAGTTCAGAGGCAGGCGATCCCGAATGGCTGTTTGTGGGCTAGGACCCAAACATTTCTGCCTTTCTGCTCTGCTGTCTTCAGCATGTTGGCTTTCACGCCCACATTTGTTGCATCATGGCTGCCATTTGACTGCTGTAGCTCCAGACATTATGTCTGTGTGTAAGGCAGGAAGGAAGGCCAGTTGCATCCTTACCTTTAATCAGGAAAACAAAAGTACCCAAGTACCTGCTTACAGCCCATTGGCCTGAACGCTCATGGCTACCTTTAGTTGCAAGGAAGATAGAGGAAGCAAGTGTCCTGCCTTTGGCTGAGTACATGGATGCACCAGTCACGGTTCTGTTAGCAGGGATAAAGGACAGAATGGATGTTTATTAGGTAGTTTATGGTAGGTATTTATGATTCTTAGCCCAGGTTGAATGATTCACCATATTTGGTAAACTTTCTCACAAAACAGAGGCTGATAGAAAACAAGGAGAAGATAGCAAGCCAAGATTGGTTGCACTGGGTACAGTGCTGGTAATAGCAAAGTTTGCAGTTAGCACTGATGCAGGCTCTTTACACAAGCCCTGAAATCACGTTAAGAAGAAGTAATATATGTGGGGGTTGGAATGGAGCGGCATCAGTGCAGGAGAGACAGGTGGTATTGCTGCTACATGTGCTGGGGGGAGAGGAAGAGAGAGTGGGGGTTAGAGGAGAGAGGAAGGAATCACATCTATGAAGCATTTATGTGCTGGGCATAAAAACCTTATGTTAATTATGCATTTAAACTTTATAATAATTGTCAAATAGGGGTTATATTTTCTCATTTTATAGAAGAGAATGCTGGGTCCCCGGGAGGTTAAATAACTTGCCCAAGGTCTGTTCAACCTAGGAAGTGGTCATGCTAGAAATTGCACCCAGGACTGTCTGACCCTGCACCATGTACTTTTTCCACTGGACCAAAGTATCTATTGTCATTTAATACATGCTCTCTACTTTTTTGTCAAATAGATGACCTCTTACAGACAATTCAGAGTACATCTGGATTAGCTGTTATTCTTTTTATTAAGGCTATGTTTCATCCCCCTGAAAAGATTCCTGATTTGGTGAGTGCATCTCCTTTGTAGAATTGTACTTTACTGATAATTAGACACATGTTTGATTTTGTTTGTTTTTTTTAAGATTTTGTTTATTTATTTGACAGAGAGAGACACAGTGAGAGAGGGAACACAAGCAGGGGGAGTGGGAGAGGGAGAAGCAGGCTCCCCGC